GGCGGGATTGCGTTGTGAAATCACATTATCGATTTCCGTGCTGGGCCTCGTTGTAGCGTATATTATCGGTGATTTCTTCCCAATGAGAGGACCGATCAGGGTGAAGCCACTGACACACATCGATAGGAGGACAGATATCGCCGTTCGTCGGACGAGCGCACTCTGGAATTCGGCGAATGACGGGCGGCTTTTGTTGATCTAAAGTCAGTTTCGTGGGATCCCGGGCCCCGAGAACGCTTGTACAAAGGATGTCATGCTGAAAGGGTAGCGGCCTTTGATTACGCGCTCCCAGCGAGCCCCGTCCGGCGAATTGAGGTCACCGAATGGCCGAGCTTGCTTCGATATGTCCCTTCTCCTTTGATGGAAGGGATGGTTCTGCGATTCGGGGCAAACATCTGGACAGGTTGTTCCCACATTCGCGCGAGTTGCTTGGAAAAAATCGCCGAAATTTTTTACCGTGCGCACGCGCACACACGCACATCAAGGCAAACGTTTATTTTCATACGACTCGCCCGCCGGAAAATATTTATTCAGTCAGATAAATACGATCTCTCTCCCTCTGCCTACATCTGTTTATTTATTTATTTCTCTCTTTTTACTCTCTGCCACGCATCGAGAGAACTTCGCCTTTGTAACTTGGAACATGCGCCGAACGTTTACGGTACAAGTGGGAAGAATAATTGACGTGAATTTAAAATAAAAAGTGGAAAAACAGGAAAGAAATGAGAGATCATTCGGACCAATTAGACTCGAAGGAACGAGCGTCTGGCGACGGCGAAACGCGGTTCTGACGGCGAAAGGGGACTATTTGGAAACTAAATGAAATCGGGAAACTGTCCCCGGGAAAGAGGAGCGATTCCTTTACTCCCTCCCTCTTCCTTGCTCGGAACGCCTGTCACCGGGGCTTTATGAAGCGCAATCGTATGAGTATTTTAATTTCCGCGGGATAGTTGGTAGCGCATCGCTGTGGCATAACAGCATCGATCGTCGATGTTATTTTATTCGTATTATTTATATATTCGCGATTTCGTGCCCAAGTATATCGCGATATAATTGGCGGCGATCGTGCCAAATCCCTTTCATGTATCGTATCTAGGCTGCGTTTGAAAACATCACTCGGATACTCTCTCTCTCTCTCTCTCTCTCTCTCTCTCTCTCTCTCTCTCTCTCTCTCTCTCTCTCTCTCTTTCTTTATCTCATTTTTATGTCTCTCTCACACCAACGCGGCAGATGCACCCGAGTGACGGTTTCCGAACACAGCTCTAGTCAGTTTTGATCAAAACAAACGCGTGTTAAATTGAAAAATACGCCTATGTGTCCACACACACACGCTCGTATATTTTTCGAGAATCTATTCGGACGATCGGAACGATGCTTTACATACATCGTTGAGTTAAAAAAAAATATATCTATTCTTTTTACACGTTTCGTTGGGCTTTTGGAAAAGTTACCTCGTGAAAACAACTTATTATCATTACTGTAGTTACAAAATCCCAACAGTCCGAGTCGTTACAATTTCCGTCATTTTGTCGCTAAATTTTGAAGAATTTCTTCGTGTTCTGCTGATCGAAACGACTCTCATCGTTGGATTAGAACAAAGTATTTATTCTTCGTACCTTCCTTGTCAGATTCGAGAAAGTTACTCTTTGCAAATTACTCTTTGAAAGCAACCCGTCACCATTATCGTTACCGTTACCACACTTTCAGAAGTAGCGAGTCGTTGCAATTTCCATTACCTTTCTCGCTATATTTTAAATTCTTTCATGTTTCCAGCAGAGCGCTGTTTCACGCGCGACGTAACAAACGTTCCAAATAACCGTTACATTCGCTGGCGTTATCAAAAAGTGTAACCCCGTTATCATTGTCGCTAACAAAAGATAATGTTACAACGTCCTCACTAGGTCGTTACTGAAGGAAAACAACTTGTTACACGGTGACAGGTAAACGCATTGTTTTCCAAGCCCGCGTAAGGCACATTCACTCCGCACAAAAGCTTCCATGCATTCGTCGCGAGTCTCGGCGCCGAATGTCAATTAAATTTAACGACTGGCAACCGTTATCGGCCAAATCGCGCGGCTGTTTTACGAATGAACGATTTCCGGGGCATTTTGCATTGTTCTCGACGACTCGTCTCGGCAACACGAACGAGGTCGGACGTAAGCTCTTGGCCGCGCGGCGTGCGCGGGCGGATCAGCGGGCTTTCGCGTTAGATGTCACACGATTGCGATTTTTCATACTCGCCGCGAATAAATCGCCTCAGTTATTCTCGCGGGGTGCGCGTCGCCGTGGCACGCGAGGCAGAGAAGACACGGGAAAGCGTACGCGACGCGCAGTGGCGCAGTTTGGAAACTCGCGCTGAAGAACGCGAGTAAATACGTCAACTTTACGCGATTGCGTTGCGCGAGAGGTCGGCAAAGCCGCTCCCCGGCTCCGTAATAAAGTTCAAAGAAACAGAAGCGGGGACGACGTCGGTACGTTTATTATTCTCGCCAGTCACATAAAAATGGCGAGGTTCTCCCGCGTAATCGTCCTGGATCATTCATCCGCGCGACGTATCCGTCGCGTTTGCTGATTTTCATGAATATTGCATCTTACGTGAAAGCAGTTCACTTTTATTACCACTCGACGTTACGAGGTGCGACGCGCGAATACGTTAGACTACTTCGTGTAATAAATATTTCAAGCGAAATCGTTTTCTGAAATAAATATATCTAGCCTCTCGTAACTCCGGGCATTAAGTATGCAGATGTATGTGTGTGTGTGTGCGCTTTTCTATATAAAGATATAAAATGCACATAAAATATTTTTAGATTTTAGAGACAGATAACGCTTGGTTGTTTGTTTTAGAAAATAGGTCGGCCAGATAAAACCTTTCATATAGCGTCCACTTCACCATTTTTCATGCGCCTCTTTAAACAAAACAGCACATTTTGAAACGGTATACAAAAACGATATTATCGTTTATTGTTCCCGCATGTAAATGATACCAGGTCCGCCGAGCGACTATCGGTTTACAGAGAGCACGTTGCAATAAAAATCACGCTATTGCACCGTTGGTGATATTGCATTTGCGTTGCAATCCCTCCTCCCTCCCCCCCCCTCTCTCTCTCTCTCTCTCTCTCTCTCTCTCCTTTTTTCTCTCTCTCACGGAGTTCCACAAGTTTACCGCGTATGGAAATGTCACGCGAGAGGAAACACCTAAGTCGGCGAAAGTGCTCGCCTCCGGCCAGATGGAAGAGTGAAAAAGGCAAAGAGAAAGAGAAAGGGAAAAGGCAAACGGGGGCAAACTTTAAAGAGGGAGATTAACAATTCGCGCTAAATGGCCAACCGCGCGCTTATGCATATGCAACGAACCGATTCGAGACCGGGGGAGTCGCGATGCATCGCGGCGGCCTTATTAAAAAAGTGCATTCGCATTTCGCGACGTACACGCGAAGTTCCTCGCGGAGGCAAGAAAACGTCCGGCGTATCGAAATGCGTTTTCGTCACGACACATCCCGCGCAACCAACCACCAGAGCGACCTTCGAGCGACGCACACAAGAACGTAGTTTACCGGAAAGCTTAGCGCATAGCGCCGTCATAACCGGATTAAAGCGCTGAATGGCCGGCTCGGGCGCTGTCTTAGCGGAGATCCGATGGTGAATGCTATTCGAGAACGCACCGAGGGCATCCGGGAGTACCCAGCCGCGATGATTCCAAAGGCGAAATTATTCGCTCCAGCTGGCGCGACGAAACGCCGCCGTGCACCGTCGACGAGCTCCTCGCGAGTCCTCGAGACGCTCGCCGCGACGAGACGCTTCGTCTGTAAAACTGCCCCGCGAATCTTAATAATTCGCCCCGACGCAACGCGCCGTATCGCGCGAATCGTCGCATTTGTCTTGGCACAGTGCGCCTCGTGAATTCTCGGGAACTTTGTTAAAATGACAGATCATATCGCCAGTGCGCTCTGTTATCGTAAATTAAACATCACCGCGTTTTCTAGCTTGACTTGAGCTACTTTGCAAATAATCGGATTAGACGTTAGACGCACCGTTGGGTCGCTTCGTCTCTCTCTCTCTCTCTCTCTCTCTCTCTCTCTCTCTCTCTCTCTCTCTCTCTCTCTGCGTGAAGTTTTATAAATAATATATTTTATAATATATTTTACGGTGCATTTTATAATAACATGCTGAATATCGCGGTGATCGCTAATGACCGGCATGATGATACTACCGTGTATAATAATAATACTAATAATAATAATAATTATTATTATTGTTATTATTATATAATTAAAATGTATAATTATTTCAATGTATTAATAATTATTATTATAATTACACGTGTAATTATACGTAATTTATGGATTATATTTTAAGTATAATTAAATGCATCTGAAAAATTGTGTTTGCACGGCCAGTAAAAGGCCACCGAAGCGAGACGAATGGCATCTCGAATGGCATTTGTTCGCCGTATTTATGATGATTCGACTATCAGTTAGGCTCTTGCACAATCAACGGTAATTTGCGCGACAATCAATGTGTCAACGCTACAACTACCGACGATTAATGACCTGTCGCTGTCAGAGTAGTCAAAATGACATGGTTCTGAAAAGCGATAAAAAGAATGCGAGGGAGAAAATGATGATTATTTATTACTCCTAGTCTCATTCAACATTAATTAAAAATATAAGATGCACCGACATGAATTTTCGTAATTTTTCGGAGAAATTATACACCGCTTACCGATCGTTTCGGTTTAATTCGACTGTGGGGCTCGTTATCGCTGTCACTTTATTATTAATCACGACTGCCTCCCACGATTTTCTTCCTTTCCTTCGCTTTCTTTTGAAGGAAGAATTAAATCTCTCCTCCGCAAACTTCGCTTTACAATAGACCGTAAATGATGGCGCCTCGTATTTTCCGCGGCGGTATATCTGGGACGCGGAGAATCGGCGGAAAACCGGAAGCGTGACTGCTCTGCACGGCGTAACGGTACCCGCGCTCGTTACCTAGCTACTTACCCAGAAGTGGCTTGTACGTCGAACTCCTGCCAAGATGGTCTGCGACGGCAGAACGACGGAAGAGGCGGTCGATCGTCGGATCCGCCGCTACGGCGAAAGGAGCCGACTCTTCTCGGCGACGTGGCGCCGCTTCCTGCCGCAGGATGCACCGTTAGTCCCGGAGTGGAAGTGCACTCGAGGGTGCGTCTACGTGTCGAGAGCGAGCGCGTGTGCGACGACGTGACGGTTCCTGGCGGCGGTACGACCTGCAAAGAAGCGGAACGCTTGAGAGACGTCTCGTCGCAACAAGACGACGACGATCACGACGACCACGACGATGGCGATGACCGCCAAGTGGCTGGAAAAAAATAACGGACCAGAGTCCGAAGGACTCCGTCGGGATTCCGACGAATTGATCAATGTTGTGAATTAGTTTTTTTCATAATTTCGACGACGCGCTTGGCCCTGGTAATAACTCGACGTATATCTCGCAAATAATAATAACCACGATAACAACAACAATAATAAATGTGACGTATGTATGCGAAAAAGTTAATTTGTGAATTCTACAATATGCAAATGAGCTGCAGTCAGTGGCAGGGAGATTGCGATATTTTTTCGTTGATGAGCTTCGCGACGCATTTGTATTCGCGGGAGGAATTTTGTTGCCTCGTAATTTCCGGAAGATTGATTATTTTCAACATCGGACAGCGGATGCGTTGCGGAGCTCATCGGGGAGAAGGATTGCGATCGCTTTGTTACTGACAATACTCCAGCTTTGATAAATTAACGGGCCAAGGGAAACGAGAGAAACGATTGTCTGCATCGCAGAGCACGAAAAGATAATCAGTTGTTGGGATCGAGAGAATGAGAATTTTTCTTTCCGACACGGTATACCGCGACCGTCCATTCGTTTCCGTGTGAAATTTAATACACGTTTTCATCCGCGAGTCGATACCGATAAATGCATTGTTTCGTGACAAAAAAGAAATGAAGAGAGGAAAAAATAACAAAAGCGCCCCTGCTCGTCGGCAATATCGACAGGCCATTTCTATGCATTGACGCGAGAATTAATAAATGTACATTTCAGACCAAAATGAGAGGCCCCCCTCGCCCCGTTGAAAATTGTAGCGACGGGTCATTACACGCGTATCCGCGGAGTGATGCATCGCCGATCACATCTGCCTTGATTTGTTTGCATAATAATGCGTGTCGCGCGTAAATTACAGCAGAGTGCCCGTCGCTGCATCGTGATGTATGAATTTCGATTAGAAAATTGCCAAGTCATAATTGATAATTTACTTCGTTAAAACTTCCCCACTATCCAACGCGGGGGGCACAAGGAGGGGGGGGGACCTCAGGTTAGCTCTCACTGCGCGAACGACGGCCCGTCGAGTAAAAATTGATAAGCGTCGCGACGCGGAGATGTCGCGCGAGACGATGAATGTTTCACGTCCGTGCGAATTAGCGCCAACATAACGGACGGTTAATTACGATCGACTCTGACGCGCAACTGCAATCAATAGATCAACTTTCTCGTAACTCGCGAACAAAAGCGACCGTGTCCATCTCAGCGCGGTGGCGTCGTGATACGTCCCCTTTAAAAAGACTCGACTTTCACACTTTCTTTAATCAAGAAAAAATACGGCCGTCCTTTGGTCGATTTCGTGCCGCTCGCGAGAAGTTAATCTTAGTCTCCGCGCAATTAGACCTTTGGCTGCGACCGCGGCGTTGTAATTTATCGCGCTGCCATTTTAGCGGGGAAAATTTGCGTATCCGTGCGCGTGCGCGAGCGCGGCTGAAAGACAAATGTCATCCCGAGCGTTCGAAACCGCTCGCTCCGATTATCGAACTGGCGCGACCGATGTGTGTGATCTAATTAAACAATGAGACACATTACGAGTCGTATTAATCGCACGAGCTTCCTGCCTCTCAATAGCGCGCGCCGCAGTTATCTGGAAATTGCCCGTTCGAGCGTGTAGTGGGTCAATATAATGAGAATAATCGCTCGAGCGCGCGAGAGAGAGGTCTCCATTTTCCTGTTGCCTTTTTTACTTTTTCAATAAAAATTCACGTCTATCTGCTGCACAGGCAGCGAATTTTTCGCCGGGAGACATTAATATTCGTACACTGAGAAAGCAAAGTAAAAGTATCAATGAATATTAATTGCATCGGTAAAAATGTATCAATACGAATATTTCAACTTCCGACATCACAAAATATACGTTCACATTCAATACGTACATATATATTCTGTGTGTCGAACTATGTCGAATATTCGATATTCGTTAAAAATATTCGTTAAATATTCGAATTTAAAGGCTAAAGGAATAAGAACGTCCTGAGTAACACGTCCCGGCACTGGTATTTTTATCTTACTTTTACATTTATTTTTTTATTCAGAACATTCGAAAATAATATGACAAATTTATGTATATGTATGCTAAAAATTTGTTATTTACGTATATTTTTTCATGTAATTTTTATTTATGTATGATAAAAATATCTTTACGCCGTCAAGTTATTTAGATAAGCTATTAATTAATTACTGCGGTATATAAATTTGTGCCTCGGTGTGAATAATATTCCACTTAGAGAGGCAGTGCAGTACGTCGTACCATTCGATAAAAATTTCCTCCGCGTACAGTCTCGTTCGTCTCCCGCTTGGTCTCTTTCTTCTGTGTCAATTCTCCATTCAACATTCCCGGACTCGCAATGTCGATTTGACACGTCGAAGCGTCGCGTGCAGTTTCCGCGCGTCACGCGACGAGAATAATAAATCCCATGTCGGAAAATAAATATGAAATTAGCCCACGATAACGCCGTCGTAATCACTCGCTTCACGGTGCCACCGGTTTAATCACATTACCTTGGGAAAGCCATGCGGCGTGGCTTGCTGGGAAACGGCGCCGCCGCCGGTGGTGGTGGTCGAGGTGACGCTTCCGGTGGAGCTGCTCCTCCCGGTCCCGCTGGTAGTCGAGTCCTCGCGACTAAACGAGAACCTCTTCACGCTGTTCGTCACGTACTCCTGCAGGGAGTTGAAGAAGCTCATTTTTACGGGCTGCTGTCCTCGTGGTGTTCCGTGCGAATGCTGACGCCGGCTGTTCAGACGGTCGCCGCTGTCATCGTACTCTTCCTTCTCTTCCTTGTCGTCGTCGTCGTCGTCGTCGTCGTCGTCGTCGTCGTCGTTGTCTTCGCGGGCTTTCTCCGCTCTTGATGGCACGTTCCTAGGGACCGAAATGCCGCGGTACGCTTCGAAATCTACAAGCATCGATCTCGCAGAAGGTCGACACGATGCCGCTCGCCTCTCGCCGCTTCCTGCTCGCGAACGTGGGTCCCCCGAGCTCGGGAATTTTCACCGTATTTCGCGTCGCAGTATCGATCTCCAGCCACGGCTATTTGCGACTTCTTTCCGTCAGATTCTTCCCGCAATTTCGAGGCTCGGCCCGTCGCACGAATCATCGCACCTTGAAGTCCCCGGGATGTTTATGACGCTGCGCTTCGTCGAGGCGAGCTGGAGCGCCGACGGAACGGTGCGAGCATCTGCAGGAAACCGAAGAGTCAACAATTAATATGCGTGCTGAGACGTGCCGCCGCTTCTTCTTGACGGCCGCTGATTTTTCACGACGAGTTGGAGGTTAATCAGTGGCGGTCGACGGAGCGCGAAAATAAACGTCGCGCGAACGGCAAAGGAAAAATTCCGAGGAGTTCATTACTCGGATTCAAAGCCGGACGCAAGGAAGCTATTCCGGCGCTAGCTCGTTTGTTGTAAAATGTTGCGCGAACACGTCGTTAATACGGCGTCGGAACTTTCCGATGCGAAACTTCTTGCAACTTTTCGAGAACCGTTCGAGAATTGCTCTCGAGCTCAAACACGTATCCCGAGTAAAGCCGTGATCGGCTGTCTCTCCTTAAACGTTCTCGAGGAATAATAATAACCATATTATCGATCATATCACTGGAGCCTGATTGGTCCTTGCACCCGGATAATTGCAATGTTACATTTTTAATGACGCGAGCGGCGGTAATAATTGTAAGATAAACGAGATATGATATCGATGTATTTAATGTGTAGAATATGTAGAATGTATGGAACAAGTTTTGTGCGATTATGGGATTTACCTTTCGAACGCACACACATCTGGCGCAGGACACCAAAGACACGCAGGTGCGAGTTTGTACCATCGACACTCGTAATTCAAATTGATCCACTTCAACCTAGTTCTTCTTCTAGTATAAAAAAAGAACTTTTGAAATCTTACGCGATGATATAAAAGTCGATAAAAAATAATGAAAAAGTAAACAGTTGATTTATAATCGTCTTTCAAAAGTACTTAAAAAATCAGTTCTCAGTGAAATATAAACGAAATAAAAAATTTAAATGCAAATTCGCGAGAGGAAAGTGATATTTCGGAGGTCCAATTGCAGTGCATATTTAAGGAAATACTGAATTGTTTATTAATAAATATAAGATTTTCAGGAAGATTTAGATGGATAATTAAAAGGGTGTGAATATTTAAATATTTGTTGTTTTTTATCGGCCTTCGTTCTTATAATATCATCATACAATATTTTATGTTCCTCTTCTATATTAAAACAAAAGCTAAATTAAAACTAATTAATTCGAAGTCGAGTTATAATTGGCAAAGATCGGTGATGCAAACTTGCACCCGTACCTGCCTTTGATATCCTCCGCCAGATGCGTGCGCTCGAAGGGTTGATATGTTTATTATACAAATTATATAGATTGCAATATAAATTAAAAATTATGTATTATTCACTTGTTATACAATAAATATAATTTATTATACAAATATACAACTATATATTGTAAATATAAATACATCCATTTCATATGTTTCTCTTAAAATTGCACAGATTATATTAATAATTATGATAATAAATACATAATAACGTAGATACAGATGCTGAATCACCTGACATCAGATTCCGAAATATCTCCGTTGTTTTTTGCATCAGAGGCAAACGTGCAGGGAATAAATTTTATGGTTGAAAAGGGATGAATATTGTAGTCAGCGATTCCTCCGAATCATACGATTTATTCCTTCCGCATTTTCCTCTAATACAAAGAAACAACAGGGGTGTTTTAAAATTTAACTGTGTGTGACTCACCCTGCATATCAATCCTGTCGTCTCCAAAAACAGTTTAATGTAAAAAAAAAAAAGTGAAAAAAAAAACAAATCGCACTTACGCGGACCGCAATTATTGTACGACTACCGTGATATACAATTATCTTAATTTAAGTTTCCAACATATTGTTGATAATAAGGTACCGTAAGGGAGGACTCGAGTGCCATAGGGACGCGAGTTCTGACATCGGGTTTTGCAGCGCGTGTTCGGAAGTATCCGGCATAATCTGCTGGATAAACGACGCAAAGTGGACTTGGAGGAGCGTAATTACGGACGGAGAGCGGGACGACTTGGGGTGAGCTCGCGAGTGCTTTCGGGTCAGGCATCTGTCCATTACCTCGTGAGCCGCACGTTAACCGAATCCCATTTGAAATGTCGGGTTCCCGCGATCGAGAGCCGAACCGGAGGAAGCCGGCGCAAAGGGTTGGATCGAGGGGTCGGGCAAATTAATCCGCAACCAGCTGCATTTCCGCTGCGGTGCTGCGTGGCGACGCAAAATACGTGCGCGAGAGATAAATCGGTCGGCCGGCACAATTAGGGCCGCGATTGCCCCCGGATAAACAATCGTCTCGCGCGGGTTCTCTCCTTCGTTTGAGAATTTCAACGGTCAAGCTCGACTGCTTCGAATTCTCCGGCTTCGGTGGCTAAGGAGAACAAAATCCGCAGATCGGTGGAATTGACGTACCTAGTGTGACACGCGTTGTTATTGCAAAATACAACGATATATAACAACGACAAGAGCCAAATTGCAGATACATTTGTCGTAAATATTCGACTATGATATTCGACTATGAATGAAAAGAACTTTCGACGAGATGTCGAGGGAAATGCAATTTCGTAGAATTTCCTTACTTTTTCTTTTTAACGCAAAGAAAAAGTATTTCCCGCCGTTATTTCAATCCCGTGAGGTGATCGTCTTTCTCACGCGATATTCTTCGCACGGCTGGTGTCGCCAAACGTACGATCGTTAATTGCGATCGATTCGGCCCGGGTCGCTCGTCCCGCCTCGCCCAGGCTCGCCCGCACATTCGGCGTTCGCTGTGGCGGCATTCGGCCGCATTTAAGCCCCGAAATTGTCCCCGGTAATCCGGGGACGCGGTGTTTACAAAACCGACGGCTGCGAGCGCCGAGCTTAAGAGAAGTAATGAGCCTCGCAGGAAAATAGGATGACACGGCTGGAAGGTAAACGCGCAAGGTAAACGCGACTTGGCGAGGTAATCCGTCAAGTTACACCGAGATCACGGAATCGCGCATCGCGGTGGGTTAACGCCGTGTTGTAAAATCACGTCTGCGCGCCGATCGAACGCGGGCCGCGTGCCCGCTCGAAAATGAAACGTCGCCCCGAGAGGTGTGACACTCGGCGAGCCCATTAAATCTTGACATACTCCAACCTCACCGGCGGCCCTCCCGTTGAAGCCCACCTACGCGCCTCTCACAGTTTTTCCTCGCCGCTGCGTAAAATATTGTACCACGTGAGAAGCGGCGTCAAATTCGACTGACGGCTCGGAGGACCGAAGCGAGCTTGTAATTGTATTCTCATCGGGGACATGCAAAATGCGTCGAGAAAAATCCGACAGTGGACATTTGTTCTCCTTTTTACCAAAGAATATTTAATTATTCTTTTTTGCTCTTTACACTTTATGCGCTTCGTTTGCTCAAAATAATGGAAAAAAAATTGAAAAAAGGATCTTATCAATAATTCGTACGAATGTAATTAATATAACGTATGAGATGTGTGTGTGTGCGCGCGCTATTGATAGAATATTGCATTGAAAAAGAGGGATTAATAATATATATGTGTATAATTTCCAGAGAGGCGCATGGCTATACGGGTGAAATCACGGAAATCTCTCGCGATCTTTTCCTTACGGCGGAACTCGAAATTGCCGTCGCGTGTCCAACGATATTTCGCAAGCATTACGTAGGTGTTCGTGTATTCGTACTAAAAGTAAACACACTGGAACTCGTTAAAAATAGTATGAACCTGTTAAACATAAAATACCTGAAATTATGTTACCGGGGATGTTTTTCTTTCTCTCTTTTTCTTTCCTATTTTTTTACGATCGCAAGTTGACAATGAATTTCTCGTCGCGGCGAATATGCAGAAATCGTTTTCGGTTGAGATTTAACACTCGCAAAAGAGATTAAATACTTGGAATTCTACGAGTTTTTTGCTGCTCAGGGAATATTATATTCGACGATGTCGTATATACGCTCCCGACATTAATAATATTAATCGCCACGGGAATGTATTCTGAGTGCTTCGAAGATGAAGGCTGCGTCTTCGCAATATCATATCTCGAAAGTTCACATCCGCGTGAAGTTTTAATGAAACTGTGTGGTTCCTGGGTAATATACCGTCATGGATAGTAGAAGAAGAAGAAGAAGAAGAGAGTAATAAATTTATGTAAGAGAGAATAACAGTTTCTGTTGGCGTATAACGACTTTCGGAGGAACCTCAGAGAGCGAGTCAACGACTCATCGCGACTTGCGAGATCGCTTAACGATCCACCCCGTTGTTTTGACTATCTTTCTATCTTTGCGACGTCTCGTGGGAATAATTACTGTCGGAGCTTTTATCGGCTGGCCAGGCAAGGCGACGCGATGCAATTCTCCCGGAGCGATGTAAACGCGAGCCGTGAGTTTGCTTCTTCTTTCATGTGTATCTGCAGCTTTACTTAGTTAGATTAATTTAATTAATTAGAATTTAAATCGGAACGTTAACGTTTAGTCTAACGAGACCGTACTTATATATTTAATTCCATTTTGATCATATATATAATATGCAGAGAAAGATGTTTCGTTGCAATTAAAAATTCTTTTAATTTTAATCATAATTTTATGTCAGATGTCAGATTATACGTACGGGTTTATAATAAGGATTTAATATTACGAGCGAACGAGTACGTATGTGTGATTTTTTCGAAAATTATGCAATTATATTATATTTTATTCGTCCGACGGTGATAAAATTAATAAAATTGCAGAGTATGTTCAGTAAAATTGGACATGCTTATTAATTTGTATCTGTATGACGAAATGTTGAGACATCGGAAGAAATAAACTTTGTTGACGAAGGAGAAAACGACTTTCAGTGCCTTGAAAAGCTCTTAATAAAAATGGAATCCCGTCGCTATTCGCGAGTGGCTATTCTTCCCGCTATTTTGATAGGTTCTTTCTCTTCACGGAGTAATAACCAACACTTTATCCTCACTGCGAATCTCGCAGCGATGTGCAAAAAACTCGCGGGCAGAAAAGGGCGTTTAATCTCGCCGAGTCACACGAAATAATCAGTGTTCGACATTGCAGTGATGATTTTCACTTGAAGGCCGATTCGAGATCCTAACTCCGTTGTAAAGTCCTAAGAACGAGATGAAAATTCAGCATTCGT